ATTGGAATTTTTTCTAGATTTCTGATTCCCAGTGTGTTGTATGAAAATCAGTGGATACAGCAATTTGAAAAGCGCAGTAAATTTTGTCCGATCATTTTTACTATATTTGTAGTGTGATATTTATTAACCATGTATCTTAGTGATATGTCTATTTTAATTAATTTGTATCATTATTAGTGCTCCGAACGGGTCAGGTCGGGTCGGGTTATAGGCCAACCCGAACCCGACCCGAAATTTCGGTTCGGGTCAGGTTGAAAATTTTCGGGTTAGCGCTTCAACCCGAACCGAACCCGACCCGACCCGAATTTTTAAGGCCAACATACCAAATTTTAAAGTTTACCAGTATATAACCCGTCGCTTACGCTGACAGGCTGTTGTTAAGTTATAAATAGGATAGATTTTACTATATAAGAACATAAAATATTAGAGCTAATTGTAAAACGGCAGTCTATATGGTAAGAAATAAATATCGTATACATATATATTACGCAGAATCATTCAGGGCGCCGCCCTAAAAGTGCCGTGATATCATTTATAGTTTTTCATGCATTCTTGAATGTGTACCGGGTTTGTGATGTAGTCAAAATTCTTTAAAGTTTGTTAGAGCTTTTATTATGGTAAGGAATACTTTTATTAGTACACGAAGAGTAAGAGATAAACGATGCTTGACAAAACAGATATTTGTGTTACATTGTACCTGATCTTGAAATCGGATTTGTAGTTCAGGCAATTTGTGCACAATCCTAATACATATTCAAGAAATGTGTTTTTCATCAATTAGTTAGTGTCATGTATATTAGTAACTTGTTATAGCATGATCTTTTTAAATAGTGATTGTAATCTATACTGTAATATATGCACTACTGTATTAACCCTAGCTAATGCACTATAAGTCTATGTAGCAGATCTTTTAGATATCATTCTGGAAATAACACTGTATTCTATATTAAATATGGTATAAACCTAGGTAGTTATTACAAACTTTATAGTTAGATTGTTTTATCTCATGCATATCACAGTACAGCAGTAATTTGATATTTTATAAATCTTAAGGCATTGCATTACGAGATTTAAAAGGAATCCTATATCCCTGTGTAGGAATGTTGCCGCAAGGTGGATCAGTAGAAATAAATTTCGGTCGTAGAAAATTTAGATACACAGGTAACATTGAATAATTATAAGTACATGTTTCCTTTTAATTTAATTTATTACTGAAATTCTTTGTAAATAGCGATTACTAGTGATGATATAAATGAAGAATCATTGGGAAAAAAATGGACAGAAGCACTTTACATGTGTGATAATGCGAAAGATTTAACAAATTTTCTGAAAATCAAGCAAGATACTGCATATGCTTTTAAATGTCAAGGAAAAGTTAATTTTATCATGGGAAGATATGATGAAGCACTTATTGATCTAACAAAATTGCCTGATATTGAGCCCAACAGCAAATTTGCGTTAAGGAACTTATTACTTAATGGGAAGACTTAAAGAGTCATGCAAAGATTTGAGAAAATTACGAACAATTGAAGTAAATGATGAATGGGCATCGAAAATGCTTATAGAAATTATTAAAAAGAAATATAGCCGATAAATTATTTTGCATCCAAGAATATTCATATTCAGTAATTAATCATGCAAATACACGTTTAGATAATAGGGAGTTAATTAGACTTAATTTTTGGTAAGTGAATAACATTTATTTTCAAAATTTATATTAAAATCGATGTTTCTATCAGGTTAACTTCCAATCAACTATACATCTGTAAATTTTATACATGCATCCTTGAATATACATACGATTATATTTTCTCTAATTGTTACAATCGTCAAATTACTAGTTTATATCTTAAGTCCATCTGCTGATGAAAATGAATTAGGATATGTTTATCTTCATAAAATTAAGGTTGTAAAGGATGAAAATACAGCGTTCACTCATTTTAAGGAGTCTGCAGAGAGTGGGAACACTGAAGGAATTAATAGTATTGGTTATTGTTATGAATATGGAATTGGAGTTATCAAAAATCTGCAGACCTGAATAATTCTAAAGGAATGTATCAAGTCGGATATTTTTATTATTTAGGAATTGGAGTTGAAAAGATAAACAAAAAGCATTGAAATATTATTTGAAATCAGGTAAAGCTGGTAATTCCATGGGAATTTGGAAAACTGCAATTTGTTATATATACAGAATTGGCGTGGAAAAGAATTTAGATAAGTATTGGGAATGGATTAAAGAGTAAGCTAATTTTTTGATTTTAATTAGGTTTTAATTGAGAATATTTTTATACATTTTAAAATTCAACTTTAATTATCAGGGAGTAAGTATAAAAAGTTAATTAATTTACAATTCGCTAATAAGTTTATAAATATTAATTATTTGTGTTTGTTCAGTCTGTAAGTATAAAGAACATTTATTAACCATTGGAATTAAAAATAACAAAACAAGTTCACAAATCAATAATATGTAATAGATTGCTGTGGATATCATGCATCATCACGGGCAATCATTTATTATGCATGATATTACGGTAATCCATTAAATATCTGTTTTATCTCCTGGATCCTAACACCCGTGATTATTACACTGATATTTTCTCTTTCACCTTTCTTTAATAAAATGTCAAACAAGCATCAAAAGAAGAATAACTTTCATAATATGCCAATTTCTATTTTCATTAATGCACGAACTTATATTCCTGAAAACATTTCTGAAGAAAATACAATTTTAAATACTGATACACCAAGATCTGAAATAGAACAAAAAAGGAATTCTACAGGAAAAAGGCTTCAGTTTACAATACAGAAAAGTCTACACAAAATTGGTAAAGAAGTTTGAAGAATTTCAGCACAAATATAATTATGTAACACCACTTGAATCAATTGAAGATCCTCACCTTATCGAACAACAAATATGTGAATATGTTGCACAAATGACAAAGAAAGATGGTGGTGAATATAAGGCAACAACAATTAAGCAGGCTGTTGATGCAATTAATAGATATCTTAGTAAAAATGGTGCAATTTGTGGCTTTAATTTACATGACAAATATCAATTTCCGGATTTGTATGACATTTTAAATGGTAAAATAAAAGATTTACAAGAGAAGAGGTTGGGTGAAAAAGAAGGATCGATGGCATTAACAGCTCAGCAAGTAAAAGAAATTTTAGATGATGAATTCTTGAATCCTAAAACACCTCAAGGTTTATTGTACAGAGTATTTTTTCGAAATACAACAATCTTTGCGTGTCGAAGCGGAGAACATTACTTACTTCAGATTAATCAGTTTCAGATTCAACCAGATGGTAGTATTTATTTTATAGATATCGCAGTAAAAATAATCAATGGGGTATTCAAGGAGGTGATGTGTATCAAATTCACTTAGGGTATATGTTTATAGAGTATCTGTGTCATGCTGAATTAAAGTATAGGATCGTTATTAAGCATCAATAGTACTATAAAGTACCAATGTCTATATAATTAT